AAAAAAAAAAACAAACTTCAACTGCTACGCCATGCATCCACTGGTAAGAAGTTTTTTGTTGTGTAACAAAAAAATGACAGTTCCATCTAAACGATATAGAAACGCGTAGACAAGAAAAAAGATGGAAGACCAATATGAAACTTGAGACTGTTGGAAAGCAAATGTAAATTGTAAATGCAAATGAAAATGCAAATGTAAAGTAAAAAAAACGGCAAAGAGAGAAAAAAGGAGGCGAAGAAGGAAAAGAAGAAAATGCAACGGGAGAAGAGGGGAAAGAGAAAGAATTTGATTGCTCAAAAGTTAAACTAAAATACATCCGATGGATACAATAGCGGTCATATGAATCAGTTCTCAATATTGTGATTGGCATAGCAAACCTTTGGATACATATATTATAGAAAATAGAAAAAATGAGTTTTTTCTTTATGTTTTTATACAAATAGAAATATCTATGCTTATTTTTTTCCGTTCAAAAGAGTTTCTTCTCCACTCCCTCTTCTCCTTCTAGGTTCCCTCCCATTCCAATACCTGAACCACCTTTTCCTTGCCAAGTTTAAGCTTTAAACTTCTTTTTACAAATAAAATAGTCAAAGATCAAATAGTGTTCAGCTATAATGGAATAGGGCAAATGGCAAAAAGAACTGTTGAATCAATATGTTTAATAGCAAACATTTATTATCGATGATCCAACAACAACAACAACAACAACAACATCAACAACAGCGACTACCACCAACAAAACTTGTTTGTTAGTTTTAGCCAATTTCTTGTTTCACAAAACAAAAGAGAACAGTGGAGAAAAAAGTAGTAAAAACCAAAGGAAAGAAAGTGGAAGAAAGATTTTTCTACTCTCTTCTTCCTTTTTTAAAACCTACTTTTTTCATAGAAGAAATAAAAACAGAAGTCACTTTGTTTCTTCCATTCCTTCATCTTCCTCCGTTTTTTTTTTCTCACAGCTGGACTGAGTCAAAATTGATTAAACGCTTTTTGTGGAATGGTTTTTTTTTTTTTTGAAATGATGTTTCTGGTGACCTGAGTTTCTCCATTGATTTTCTCACGGACAATCGACGGTAAAATTGAACTAGCGCCTGCGTTATTCGCCGTATCCGATTCCTTATTTTAGTCTTGTGCCAGCATCCAAATAGGTAACGAGGGCTAACTGCGGTAATGCTAATGGATTACCAAAGGCATCACCAGTGATGACGGCCATTAATACGACAAAAGTAAAAATAATTTTTAACTATTTCAATTTAAACAATTCATTAATAATGGTAATATTATTTCTTCTTTTTCCGTTTTTTCTGCTTCTTCTTGACTGGTAACTAGCAATTTCCCTGCTATTCTATACACAGGTAGACAAATGTATAATAGAATTAAAAAAAATAAGGAAGAAATAAAAGAAAGAGTAACTAAAAAGATGCCTAAATAGGACAAATCTACTCAATGGTCGGTGTTAGGAAGATGCAGATGACAACGAGGAGGAAAGAAAAGATAGAACAAAGAAGGTGAAGATTAAAAAGAAGCAAAAGCAAAGAAGAAAAGATTGTTCAGGACACTTGTAATTTGTCTACGAAAATCCTATCATAAGCAGTCAAAAAAAACCTCCCAAAAAGTGTAGTAAACTAACAAAAGATTTTTTTAAAGATTTTCATAATACATTACCAGATGCACATATATGATAAATATTGGTTACTACTAGGTCGGGCGGCAAGAACTTTAAAGCCGGTAAAATCAATGACGTCTGGGAGTCTTTAGGTTCGACAACGACAGTTCAATGCAATCTGTCACACAACAATTACTCAAAAACTGCCATTGTTAAGTCTCCGGAAATTTCATAGCATAATCCCGCAAATAAACTTCGCCGCTACTTTCTCATTTTCTCTCCCATTTTCCGTTTAGCTTTTGGTATAACTCTTTTCCTCTTTCCAACAACCATTTTTGCAAATCTATACATATGTCCGAGAAAATGGAGACTATAATGATGGTAGTGATGATAATGAAAACTGCAGTAAAAGCAAAAGCGACTGCATCAACGGCAACGAAAAGGAAGAAACTGAAAGAGGAATAAAGGGGAGAATGAAGGAGAATAAGAAGAATAAGAAGAATAATAAGAGTTATAAGAATAAGAAGAAGAAAAAGGAAAAAAAAGAAGAAAGAGAAGACGACGACGACGACGACGATGACGACGATGACGATGACGATGACGATGACGATGACGATGACAAGGAAGAAACTGCAGAAGATAATCAAAATAATCAGAAAAAATAAAATTTAATGCTGGCAAAAATTTGATTTGCAACTGTTAAAAATCCCGTAAACCATCAGTTTTGAGCGGCCTCTCTACACCAGCACAGACACAGACACATTTCATAGTTCCACCGATCTTCATTCGTTTTTACATCTATGTTCAACAGCTAATTTATCCAATTTTTACAATTTCTAATTCTTTTTTTTTTTCTTTTGCCGTTGTCGTCCTGCATTCCTAATTAACTCTTATTTTTATGTTCCAAGGAAAAAATTATTAATCAATTAAAACGAAAGCATACAAATTTTTTTGCAAACGACAACCTGCAAAATCATTTTATGTTAGTATTTGAATGAGTGCACGTAATAGCAAAAAGGTCGGAAGAAGAAAATCTGCAGCAAACAGTAATATTTTAAAAGAGAAAAATGATCCAGAAAGAACTGTTTATAGACATGTGGCTCAATCAGCTATATATAATGTTAGTTAAATAGTAATCAACGAAGATCTATGAGCGTAATAGGTATTTATCGTCAGGTATACAGATACAGATACAGATAGAAGAAAGAGGCAACTGGCGGGAGAAGAAAAAAAAAATGAAATGAAGAAATTTACTTGTTTATCTATCGGTAACCGGAAGAGACATCATACATCAAACCAACAGAGGCAGCAGTAGTAACAAACTTGCCGTAATATTAATTCTTTGAGAAGTTTGTTCGAACTGTTTATAAAGTTTACAGAACCTTTTAGACGATCACTACCCACTAAACATGCTGTTTATAACCTTTAAATGTTTAATTAACAACTAAACCAAGTAAAAATAAAAAATCATGAATTAAAAACTTATATACAATTACCTGTAAAATTACATTAATTGAATGAATAACAGCAATAGCAGTAACAGTTAGCAGCCAATGCAAAAAAAAAAAAATTTATAATGCCATTTTCTCGACTTAATTTTTCCTGCTTTTCACTTATCTTCCAAACTATTTACTTGCTTCACATCAGTAGCTCTAAAAACAAAACTGAATTGTCAAGGTTAATTACACACACACACACACAGAAAAAAAAGAAGAATGAAAAGAAATGAGGAAAAAACTGATAATGACAGGATAATTTCTGATACACTTAAAAAACTATTTAGTCAATCGTTTAGTTTCCATTGTTTCTTTTTTCTTCTCCTTCTATTATTTTTTCAATTTTTGATCTTTTTTTTTCAATAATTAGCTTTTCTTTTTAGCACATAAATGAAGAAGAAAAAACGATTAAAAAAAAAAGAATCTTTCCCTTAACAAACATTATAGAAAATTGCTGCAACAGCAAAATTCTTCTCACCCTTATTCCACTCCACAAAAGATAAGAAGATAAAAGAAATAGTTTTTCTTGTTTGTTCCAAATTATTCTTTTTTATTTATAATAAAAAAGAAATTTTGCATCTGCAATCTAAACAAAATAAGGATAAACATGAAGGGAAGCTAAAAAGAACCAATTTCACAGCCGTACTTACACACTTTCATTTCCTTTTCTTATTCTCTTCTTCTTCTTCTTCTTCTTCTTCTTATTATTATTATTATTATATTATTATTATTATTATTGTTATTGTTATTATTATTATTACTATTATTATCATTATTATTAGTTTTTTTCTTCTTATTATTATCATTACTTTTATTGTTATTGTTATTTTTATTTCTACTGTTGTTATTGCAAATACTATTATCACCATTAGTACAGTTGCTATTTTTATCTTCCCATTTGATAATATTAATGTTTTTACTGTAACCTAAAGTTGAAAAGAAAATTTATTTTTCCGTTTCCATTCAATCATTTCTCTGT